TTTAACTTTACTTCAATATTGTTCCAACTGGCGATAAAGTCGGGGATATCGAAAAACACCGAAGGATATCAGAAGGAGAATTTAAATTACCAGTTTAAGTTGGCTTTTATTAACTGCATATCTTTCAGATATAATTCTAGATTTGCATAACAATACTGTAAAACAAAGATGCTAGGGGTGAGCTGCAGAAAATTCGTGATAATTTTTTTTTTTAAGTTGTGTAAACAGTTTTACTTAAAGAAATGAAAGTTTGAGTAATGAATGACGTTTGTACAAAACATCGTATATCCAATTCCCTTATGCTACCACCGAAATTTATATACGTGCAAGTCTGTAGACCGCTAAAGAAACGAATTGAACATACATCTTCAGTGGCTCAGCTGCAACTTAAAACACTCATGCAGCTGTTAGCGCATTTGATCTCAGACTGCTATTATTCAAAAGCAAAAAATGGACCTCAAATCATCTTAGCTTTATTGTTATACCAAGAGACGTTATCCGTAAACAGAGTGCATACATGTATGTAATTGACGCATGTATGATATTGCGATTAATATCTTACTTCACATATGTTTCTCATGGAGTAGTACAAATATTAATAACAATTTAAAAACGATCTCTGGCTAAAAATGTTTACAGACATACGAGCTTTCGACTGTTAGATCTACAGTCTTCAACGGGTAATGATGAATGACGAAATATGAATATAAATGAGTAAAAATAAAGAGAATGGACTATGTAAATTAATCATGAATGTGCGTTTAACACCCTAAGAAAGGAACACATAAGAAATGTCAAAACAGCGGCTAAAGGCTCCAAAATTGCGAACCATGCGTGGTCCCATGAACATTCTATTGACTTAAACAACGCCTCCTTAATTGACAAAGGCAGTTTCCGAATAAGAAAAACATTAGAATCGTGGCATACTATGGTGACTCCAAATGCTGTCAACAATTCCTGCCCATTCCCTGGGCAATACAACATTCTTTTTACACGCATTCTTGATTAATTTACATAGTCCATTCTCTTTATTTTTACTCATTTATATTCATATTTCGTCGTTCATCTTTATCCGTTGAAGACTGTAGATCTAACAGTCGAAAGCTCGTATATCTGTAAAATATTTTTAGCCAGAGATCGTTTTTAAATTTTTATTATGCTCAACCCTGGCTACGGTCCTTCAATATTTTTAAGTACAAATATTGCCGGTTTCCGGTGACATTTCTGATCAACGTCACTAGTGAACATTTTCTTCATTTTTCTTTCATAGCATACAAGTGTGATTTTTTGCAGATCGACATCGTTGTGTTTTTTGTATCCTAAGAATGATATCCATACACATGTATAGATAACTTAAATATTCAATAATAGTTCAAGAATTGTATTTTTAATTCAGAACGTGCTATGTTGCATGAACGTGCCAAAAGAACGATACAGTAGAATATTTCTTGTTTGATACTCATAACAAGAAAACATTGCTCATGTTTCTCTCCTCACGGGTTTCGAGTAGTCTTCCTTCTGGCGATCGGCGATGTAAAATATGTTCCAAAATCATAGTTTTCTAGGACAAAAACTTAAATCATCTGTATATCTTATCCAGTAGTTTTTAGCAATGAAAGCTTCCTTCAAAGCGCCCAAGAAGACTGACTGCTAAACCCACTGGAGGCTGAAGAGTTTTTCAGCCGCACTAATGCGAAATTTTCTGTTGATTTAGCCGCCTTCTTCCTGACACAAGGAAACGCCTTTAAAATTTTTAGGAAACCTTGGCGGTACTTATCATTCAAGATGAAATAAATACATGGATTTATCGACGCGTTGGAGTACAAAATAAAAAACGCAGAAAACGCAAAGTTCTCCATGCCGCAAGGCATCTTCCAATCCCAGACGAAATAAAACAGAATGGCGTAGACGTTGAAGGGCATTACACAGACGATGAAAGCCACGAGTATTGCAATGATGATTCTTACCACTTTCTTGTCTTCTCTTAATCTCTCAGACATCATGTATCGTGAAGGGCCCTGGCCTCTCGTATGTCTACTTCTGTTCAAATTCAGAATAACGGCAGAATATAGAAATGTAACTGCACATGTTGGGATAGCGATCAGACAGACGAATATTACAAGAAAATGCGCTTCCTGAGATTTCTTTTGATCGAATCTGGGAGCCCAGCTTATTGCGCAGTACGTTTTGCTATCAACCGTCACTATCCTAAAAATGTAGAAGTAAATTGCTTGCAGACCCATCGATGTGAGCCATATTGTCGGTACGATGATTTTACAGAGTTTAGCCGGCTTCCTAAACTGTTTACGCAGAGGGAACACAATTCCTCTATACCTGTCGATAGCTATAGCTAAAAGACTCAGAATTGAGACGCCAATTGTGATGTCTTGAAAAAAGTGAGCACTTTTACAGAGAACTGAACCCAACAGCCCGTTAATTAACCATCTGCGAGGTCCAAGCAATATTTCTGTTATCTGCCTCGGTACAGCCAAGACTGTTATTAGAATATCTGAAACTGCCATATTGGCGATGAGATAATTGGTAATGGTTTTCATTCCCTTGCTCCTCGTAATGATAGCAATGAGCAAAGAGTTCCCAAGGACTGAAACCAGCAGGAGGACGCAGTAAAAGAATATTTTAACTTCTTTGCTTACACTGGTGTCGCTTTGGAACGGTTTGCAGCTGTATTCGTCTAAAATGGTCGTGCTGTTCAAAGACGAACCACTCGTTGTAGGTGACTGGTTGGTCAGCTGTGTTGTGGTATCCATGAGTCGTTGAATTAGAACCGAACAGTATTATGAAAATGCAGGCAGGAAGTGACACACAATTCAGTGCAGCTCCAACAGAATAAGCTCTTTGCTGAAAACGGCAATATTATCTCACCAATATTCAGTGCTTTGGTAGGGCCCCAAGTATTCGACAAAATGGTGAGTGAAACTTCAGTGCTTCAAGCTGAACTATATATGACGTCTAACCCTGACTCCTCTTTCCTCTACTGATTATGACTTGCGTCATAACATTGGCAAATTGTCCAGCCTTTTTTTCGTTTTTTGGCTTGATTACTTTTTTGTTATTTAAGTTTGTTCAGTTGTTTCAATCATCGGAGCCAAGAACACAAACACACAAAATAGCTGACAAACCGTGGAACCTAGAGATAAATATTACTCGGAGAATTGCCGAGAATTTTTAATTTTGAATTTAGAAATTTAATTCAGAATTCTTAAATTTAATTCAAATTTAAAAATCTCTTCAGGAAAAACCTCTACAGGTAAACAATAATGGGAAATTGTAGCGTGACATTAATAAGCAATATTTATCCTAAAAGACGAATTAAATTGTGAGCGGAAGCCTGTACAGCGGGCTAATAACGTGTTTCTTTTCATTTGAAAAACGCATCGATTACTCTATTGCTAAGATATCATTCAGTTTGACTTACTATTTTAATATTGTGTAGATTTGACATAAGAAGGACTGCTGATATATCATGAATTGCAACGCACGTGCAATACCGCCTGTTGTTTACTCCATTAGCGACTTAACTGTACTATTTTTTGTATCCTCTGTGCCTCGCTGGCTAGGCTACCGTGTTTTTTGAGGTTAAGATAAAAATGACGAGACAATTGTCGAGGTATTAAAACAGCGACTAGAAAATTATACAATGAGCTACGTAGGTGCGAAAAACGTAGATTAGAGCTTTAAGGTAACCGTCTCAAGAGATTTTTCGTTGGAGAACCAAGTTACAATCGCCAAGAAATGGTTGCTATCAATTTACATCGCAGCTGCAATATTTGTACTTTTCGGGTTTCTCGACACTGCGTGTGGGTCCCTTTTCCGAAACTTGCTGAAGGACTTTTCCGCAAGGAGGATAAAATTAACCTTTTCATTCTCGTTTAACAAGCTGTCGAGAAGAAAGAGAAAAAGTAATTATATATGTCAAGGGGTTAAATTTATTCAGGTCTTAAATAAATAATGATCATTATGATCATTGTTTACACTGGTGTCGCTTTGGAACGGTTTGCAGCTGTATTCGTCTAGAATTGTCATGCTGTTCAAATCCCAAAACGAGTCACTCGTCGTTGGTGACTGGTTGGTCAGCTGTGTTGTGGTATCCATGAGTCGTTGAATTAAAACCGAACAGTACTATGAAAATGCAGCAGGAAGTAACGCCCGATTCAGTGCAGGTCCAATTGAATAAGCTCTTTGCTGAGAACGGAAATAATACCTCACCAATATTCAGTGCTTTGGTAGGGTCCCAAATATTCCACAAAATGGTGAGTGAAACTTCAGTGCTTCAAGCTGAACTATATATGACGTCTAACCCTGACACCTCTTTCCTCTACTGATTATGACTTACGTCGTAAAATTGGCAAATTGTCCAGCCTTTGTTCTTTTGTTTCTAGTTTGTTTTCGTTTTTGTTATTGAAGTTTGTACAGTTTCAATCATCGGAGCCAAGAACACAAACACACAAAATAGCTGACAAACCGTGGAACCTGGAGATAAATATTAAAGAATTGCCGAGAATTTTGAATTTTGAATTTAGAAATTTAATTCAGAGTTCTTAAATTTAATTCAAATTTAAAAATCTCTTCAGGAAAAACCTCTTTAGGTAAATGGGAAATCGTAGCGTGACATTAATAAGCAATATTCATCCTAAAAGGCGAATTAAAATTGTGAACGGAAGAGTTACGGCGGGCTAATAACGTGTTTCTTTTCATTTGGAGAATGCCTTGATTATTTTATCCCTAAGATATAATTCAGTTTTGACTTAATATTGTGTAGATTTGACATAAGAAGGACTGCTGATATATCATGAATTGCAACGCACGTGCAATACAGCCTGCTGTTTACTCCATTAGCAACTTAACTATTGTTATATCCTCTGTGCCTCGCTGGCTAGGTTAGCGTGCTTTTTTGGGTTACGATAAAAATGACGACACAATTGTCCAGGTATTAAAACAGCGACTAGAAAATTGTACAATGAACTACGTAGATGCGAAAAACGTAGATTAGAGCTTTAAAGAAACCATCTCAAGTTACAATCGCCAAGAAATGGTTGCTATCAATTTACATCGCAGCTGCAATATTTGTACTTTTCGGGTTTCCCAACACTGCATGGGTTCCTTTTCCGAAACTTGCTGAAGGACTTTTCCGCAAGGAGAATAAAATTAACATTTTCAACCTCGTTTAACAAGCTGTCGAGAAGAAACAGAAAAAGTAATTATGTATATCGCGGATTAAATATATTCAGGTCTTAAGGTGGCTCCCTAGAGTAATTACGAACACCCTCCCTATATAGAGTGCGAGTTAGAAACGGAAACTTTGTTAATTTCTCTTAAAGTTTTCCCTGCAGAGATTTATCAATATGGGTACTGTTAAAATAAGGCTTATGTTTCGGTTGTTAATTTTTGGATTAAGGCCGTTACCATGGTAACAACTCATCTAATGACAGGCAGATATATTCCTCATTTTGGCTTAAACTCCTTAATATTTATACTTTCCTTCGGTTAAAGTTTTTCATACTTCGCCACATCATGGAAATGATATTCCCTGACATTTTGAATTGGTAAAAAGTCAAGGTTGTTTAGACGGGTTTTCCAATATTCCGCAATTTGTCATTATTCTAAACATATTAGATTAGCTCTGACAGAATTAACAAAAATATTTTTCCCTTACCTGGAGCATCTCCACGCTGTTGACAATCTGACAGTCATTTCACCCACTCGTACTAATCTCCAGGAAAAATAAGACTTGCTAAGCAATGATGCCAGGCGAACTGGTCTGTCAAACAGATTTTTTTTTTCCTTCCAGAAAAAAACGCTAAATGTAAATTTGGTCGTGTCATTAACTATACGGTTAAATTACTTTTCATTTTCTTTTTTGTATTTATCATTCACTTAACTGTTTGTTTGCATCTTGGTTTTTTGGGTGTAACAACAGTGCTTAAATCTTTGAATTTTTAAAAAAATAAATACAATAGTAGTTGAAAAAGAACAGAAAAGGAAACAAAAGATGATAATCCAAAAAAGATTATAAAATCAAAATAGGATTACAGTGCTATCATTGACAAATGCTGATGATTAAGCTGAGCAGGTTTCCTACAAAAGATCTATCACGTGTGATTTAATCAACATATTTCAAAGGCAAACTGTATTTTGATAGAGAAAATAAAACCATACGTCGGAAGAACGAAGATTAACAGGACAAATTCATTTTTCCTATGACAAGCTGCGCTGTGCCACAAATTGACAGCTCTTTCCCGTCTTTTTTGATGAGACATTTTTGGGGTCAATAATTCGATTTCCAATAAGCGCACGTCCAAATTTTGATCACGAAAGAAAATCTACTTTAATTGACTTAACACACGTCACAAAGACTTGGGAGATTTTGAGAAATGCTACACGATGGAATAAGATTATATAGATTGCGTAATTTTATTCGAAACAACTTTTGAGTTGTGTTAAAACACCACCCAAATTTGACCCAAATATTGTTAAATAAACATGAAGTCCTTTTCTTTCTAGTAGACTACGAGTAGTCCCTCTTTCGCTTAGTCCGTCGTGCGTGACATGGAAGAAAACCGCGAGACAAAAATGGCCGCGCGAAATCCTGGAGGCGAGAAGCCCCCAGGATTTCGCGCGGTCATTTTTTTTCTCGTGGTTTTCTTTCGCGTCACGCACGACGGACTAAGCGAAAGAGGGACTATTCGTAGTCTATTTTCTTTCCGAACGGTACGAATTAGTCCATCACAGAAACATGTTGTGCTATCGTCTTCCAGTGTTTCTTATAGAATAAGCACGCTTTCAAGATAATTGCACTTACCGGCTCTCGTGATCATGTCATTCGAATTATCGGCAATCGATTCGCTACTGGCGAAATTACGGACCTCACCCTCTATGGTGCTGACCGATCTCCTTGTTTAGATCTGGGAATACGAAGTCATTCCTATGGACTGGGGCAGGAGCCTGATATTGAAACTTCCGAAGAAGGGTGACCTCAGCAAATTTAACAACTGGCGAAGCATTTCACTTTTGTCCATTCTTAGCAAGGTCTTCTGCAGATTCCTCCTCAAAATCGATCGGCAGGGACAGGCGGCATTTCTGAAAGATCGAGGCTACATAAATCAGAATTTTGCTCTTCAGTACATCATTTGCATATTGAGCAGTGCATCGATTGTAATCTCTCCTTGTTTATCAACTAACTTCATCGACTTCAAAGAGGAATTTGACAGTGGTTACCGTCAGAACCTATGGAAGATCCGTATGATTAGTTTAAGACGGTTTCCGCTCAAAGTCCAAGCAATAAGTGCAAATATTATTTACTAAAAATCTACTCATAGCATGGTAACTTTTGGAATACTATTTGAACAACTTACGTCAGTTCATTTATGTAAGTGACCCCGCGATTAAATTCTCAAGCATTCTCGAGAAAGTTAATGTCAAACCTCGTAAGAACGCTTAGAGCGTGTGTTATTGGGTTTTTAACCAACGCGAAACGTCTGTTTTAATTGAAATATGGATAACTTCAAGTTCATTTTTCCCTCGCGGGGTCACCTTGAGAGCTAAAGTCTTGATGAGTTCCTCTTAACTGTATTCAAAATATTACCATGCTGTTAGGCTTTTTTGGTAACTTCATTTTTGCCATTATTCCTCGAATGTTCTGCGGAAATCATCTTAAATTTCGTTTCAAGAGCAGTCCTTGCAGACTGCTTAAACTCGACGAATTCACCATCGTCGCACGGCTGTGATTCAAGTTTACCCAGTTGCTTTTCATAGTTCAGACAGCTCGATTTCTCTTCGTCTGTTTTATAGCTAGGCAATGTTCCTTTTAATCAATACAAAATCAGATTTAGTTTATCAATCTTGGCAAACCGGTACATGCAAAATATGATTCTCTCTGTTTTTAAATGCCTTCACTTTTGTACATACCGTAAATCTCCTGAATACTTAAAGATTTGTTTAGTCTGCGATCGAGCACTTATTCCTTAAGAGGAACTGATATCTTACCCTACCTAAAATAAGTACAACAACTTATGGCCTTAATTCTTTTAGTTACTAGGCGGCCAATTGCAAATCCTGGAATGCACTTCCAAATCAATATCCTACTGTTACAAATTTTAACACCTTCCGCAAATTAATTATGTCCTGTGATATTGCATAGATTTAACTTCTTTGTTCCAATTTTTTTTCATTATTTCTCATTCCTAACGAGGAAGGTCGAAGAAGAAAAGGTCGAAGAAATTAACAGCAATGCTATCCTGTAAATTTGAGGGTAAATAAAGTTTATGATGAAGATGCATACATACATACATACATCCTTTATTATCTTTCCCCATGGGGGCTTTTCGAAGACAATATGGTACAATACTGCAATTAAATACTAATATACTATGATGATAATGATAATGACGACGACGACGGCTTCGACGTCGACG